ATATCAGGGATATGACTATTTTACCACGCGGGCCCAGCCCCCCAACGCTCTGGATTGCGGCCGCTGGGAAGCTATACACCGACCACTGCTGGTCAGGTTGGTTGTCCGTCAGTGGATGGAGAGAGACGCTAGACGGCGATTTGGGGAAACCATGTGGACTCCAGGCTGTGCATGTGAGACTTGGTGTTTCCTTGGCCACCTGCGGAGGTTGCAGTGGGTGTGTCTGAATTCCGTTCTCTGTGATGCCTCCCCTGTGGCCTTCACCTGTGGCCTCCCCTGTGGCCTGTACCTGTGGCCTTCACCTGTGGCCTCCGTGGCAGTGTGGATCTGGGGTCTGGTGTGTGAGCCAGCTTTCCGTGTGCTTGCCTTCCGTGCTGCGGTAATAGCAGAGCACATGTGTGATCACGCCTCACAAGCTCCTGAATACCGTGACCGAGTGGGTCTGGACATGTCTGGCGGGTGTGAGGACTGGCGATGGCAGTCCTTAGAAATCTCTTTCCCTGCATGTCTGTGCCCACTTCACGGCGGAAGTGCCAGGCTATGGTGATGAATGTGTTTTCTGGACTGTTCTCTGTTCCACCTGTACTGATGGATTTTTTCCTTTCAGAAAAAGGCTAACCCGGCCGGTGTGGCTCAGTGGTTGAGTGTGGACCTATGAACCAGGAGGTCAGGGTTTGATTCCCCATCAGGGTTGCGGGTTCGATCCCCAGTAGGCGGCGTGCAGGAAGCAGCCAACCTATGATTCTCTTTTATCATTGCTGTTTCTATCTCTCTCCCTTCCTTTTTAAAAATAAGAAAAAGAAATTAAAAGGCTGTGGAGGTCGCCTGCTTCCTCCTGGGTCTGTAGGTGCCCATTATACACCCAAGGACGGATTGCCGGGCGGACAGGGCTGGCGTTGGAGTTGATGTTCCCTTTACCTGTGTTCACACATTCGGTGAACTGGTTTTACATCCTTTCTTTTAAAAAACACTTGTGAAAAGATAGGCATGTCTCCGATCTGAAGCTACTAGAACCCCACAGACTATAAAACAGACCCCACCCAGGAAGGTGGGAAGTTGTTGGGCCCAAAATTGCTTTGTGGAAATAATGAGGCCCATTCATTCTGATGAAGAATTGAGTCAGAGGAATGATCAAGGCTGATTTTAGACCCTAACTGGTGTTTATCTCCTGAAGGAAACTTAAGTCATAGATGGGGGCTGACGGCTCAGATTTGAAGGACGGGTGTCAGGGGGCCCTGTGAGCATCAGCTCAGAGTGTAGAGTTGCCTTCGAGGGTGACGGCCTGTGACAACACCCCTCCCGCCAGTGCCTGTGTCATCATTGAAGGTGCCTTGAGGAATTAGCGTGACAGCCGGCCTGACATTCACATGGCCATTTATATAGCGTTTCCTGGGAGCGTTGGCATTTGCTGTTTCACTTGTTGGAAATTATTTTGGCCTTTGATTTATGATGGCCACCGTGCCATAGAGCCTAATATAGCTCAGAGACAAACATTTAGCCTCACACTGCTTTGTGTCTTCCCTAAATGTCCGAGCAGCCATGCACATGGAAAGCTTGAGTTAGGCTACAGACAAAGGGGACCGGGGAAGGCTGTGACAGTTCTGGAGGTGTCAGTCCTGAACAGGGGACTGATTGGCCTGCCAAGGTGTGCTCGGAGCCCTCCATCTCTGTACTGGGTGGCGGGGGGTGGGCAGGGGTGGGGGTGTGGAGCTGTCCTTAATGATGCCCCCTCTTATCTGATCCTATCTGTGCTCCCTGTGTTTTTATTTTCACACTCAGACCGAGAATACTGTATTTTCAATTATGAACATTTCGATTACAGCTTCATCCTAACTAATTCAGTCCGAAGAGAATGCAATTGTTATGGTGATTTACATACAATATGCTAAGTTAACACAGCTAATGAGCGAAAGCCCGCTAGTCCTATGCATTCCTAGAAAAACACTGTGCTAAGCATTCTTTCAAAGAAAAGATCCCATTATTCGCCAGCAGTTTACGTCTACCTGCAAGGAGAACTGGCACGGAGCCATTTTCTCGGCTATTAAGGTGGAATCTCTCACATTGGCCATCGCATGCCTCTCACCGCTCTTTGGGGGTGGGGTGGGGGGAAGGATGGAAACAGGTCTCCATTTCATCAGACGTGGTGCTCTCTTCTTTCTCTACATCCTATTGGAGGAAAGAGTCTGTATCTTCTAATTTTGGGGGCTGGTTAACGCCTTCAACGTTACTAATTACTGCAGTTTATTTTTTGTGTGTCGCAGTAGAGTAGTTAGTTAATTATAGCCTTCTCATTAGCACCGTGTGGAGAATAATGAATTAACACATCCCTTGGATCAAAAAAACATCTGAGTTTATCTTCTGAGAATAAAAGTGTTATTGTGTTACCGAAAGTCACTATAATTTTCCCAAGAAGCAAATTGGTTGGAATCCTCTGGCTCTGGGATAGGAGCCCTGATGAATGAGGTGGCTGAGCGCAGACGGGGAGTCGGGCTGCGGTTGCTTGGCAACCTAGCATTATTCTGCAGTTTCTTCTGGGATATTTATCCAGTAAACTAGAAAATTCTGTTTTGTTAACGAATGTTTTTTAGTCAGTGCACAAATAGACCATAACTAATTGAGATTTTATGTATTGTGCCTAAAAAATGGTCCTGCTCACCTTCCCATTATGCTGAGATGACACAAATGCAAAGCATATTCTGTTTTCAGTTTTTTAACATTTACTTTCTGTAAAAAAAAAGGTTTATTTCATTTTCATATGAATTTGTCTCTACCAAGATATTACAACTTGCTTATCTCTTGGGAAGTCAAATTATTAGGAGTGTGTGTGTGTGTGTGTGTGTATTCACAATTTTTTCAGTAAGAGCCAGAAAGAGAATTTTAACTGAGAGGAAGTCTTCAAGAATCATGGTTTGCGGGTTGGAGTGACCATCGGGTAAGTTTAGGGAGGCATGGGCCTCCTGTCCGCAGGTCGCTGGAGGATGATGACAGGGCCGCTAATGCACTGAGTCTGGCAGATGTAGGGATGCCCGCTGTTCTTGGGCCCAGGTTCCTCTCACTGCCCCGGGAGGCTCTGGGCAGGAGCTCAGCAAAGCCCGTGGCTGCCTGTCTTCTCAGCCTCCCCTCCCACCTCCAGGGACTGCGATCCATCTACACTTTCCCGACTCGGCCTATGAATTTTAGTGCGCGTCGCAATTCCCTCCTCAGGTCGTAAAACCCTTCGGGCACATTTTACGCATCCCATAAACCCTTGTGCTGTCTGCACAGCGGGAGACACAGGTGTGCGGGGAGGTGCACTGGCTGCCCCATGGGGCTGCGGGGCTGCATCCGAGTCCCCTAAATCCTGTGTGGGTGGCCTTGGCTGGGTCAGGTGGCCTCTAAGACTGAGTTCTCCTAGGAAATGAGGGATACTATTCAGACCCGGTGCGCGGGCATTACTGTGAGTGTGAAGTGGGCCCCTCTAGGTGGATAGCTTAGTGAATGTACTAAGCACTCAGCTAATGCTGGCCTTTATTGATGTAGTAGTTATCCTTCCATTCCATGCTGTGGATGGAGGGAGGGGGAGAGCGCACCTGAGCCTGCTGGGGTCCTGGTAATTCCTGCTGAAGGGCCCCCGCACCTCGAAAGCCTCAGGTCTGTGGACGGCGGTGACGGGGAGCACGAAGCTCTAGCTGCCAAGGGCAGAGCAGAGTGGAGGATCCTAACATCTGCTTCAGGGGCCTCTGCCCACTTCCCTTGGTCATCCTTCCTGCCCAGAGCAGGGTCAGCTGCAGCCTCCAAACTGCAGAATACACCTGTCCATTCCCCGTTACCTCTGCTTTCCTTTCGGAGATGAGGGGGTGCAGCAGAGGGGACATGCAAAGGGCGTGGTTCCGCTTCTATGGCAATGGGCTTGTATATTTAAAAATATGTTTTTATTGATTTCAGAGAGGAAGCGAGAGGAAGAGAGAGAAACAGCAGTGATGAGACAGTCATTGATGGGCTGCCTCCTGCACGCCCCCTACTGGGGATCGAGCCCATAACCTGTGCATGTACCCCGACGGGGAATCAAACTGGGACCTCCTGGTTCATAGGTTGATGCTCAGCCACTGAGCCGGGCTAACAGGCTTGTAGTTTTAGCTGAGGTTCTTCCCTAACAGAGCCTGTGCTGTGATGGAGGCTCCGATGGAGGAGGGCAGGCGTCCTGCTCTGGAAATGACACCTGTTCTCTGAGGACAGGTCTTCATTATCAGCTGTCAATTAAGATGCGGCTTCAGAGGGAAAAGCCATCCAACTGGGTTCTAGGCATGGCTGATATACTTGGGATTTTAGAAAGGTGTTTGATGTTTTGGTTTGAGGTATTTAGAAGCTAATGTTGATTATCTTTTATGTGTGAAATGGAAATACCATTCTCACGTCTCAGTGACTGCAATGACGCTGTTGTGTTGTACAAGGTGTGGGGGGAGGAGGGGGCAGGGAAAATGCGCTTGCTCCCACTCTGGCCAGACCCGTTCTTGTGTCCTTGGACCCTAGGGGATCGGTGTGCTCTGAGCTTTTGTCTGACCCCTGCCTGTTTCTCCAGAGCACGGTGCTTGGCTTCCTAATCAATACGTTTATTTTTCTATTGTAAATTCAGAGGCTTTCTGAACTTCTGTAAAAGGCATCTGGTGCACAATGAAGAATGATTCATCCATTAAAATGTATTTTTTTAATCCTCACCCGAGGATGTGTTTAGAGAGAGGAAGGGGGGGGGAGGGAGAGAGAGAGAGAGAGGGAGGGGGAGAGAGAGAGAGAGAGAGAGAAATACCCATTGGTTGCCTCCCATACGAGCCCCGACCGGAGATCAAACCCACAACCTCAGTATGTGCCCCAACTGGGAATCGAACCCATGACCTTTCAGTGCATAGTCTGATGCTCAACCCACTGAGCCATCAGCTAGGGCTGGATTAAAATATTTAAGGAATTACTTGCAATGGCAAGAAATAAAAAAAAAATTGCCGGCAATGGTGAGCATACAAAAATAATCACCGTGTTCACATCTATAGATACGTCAGAACAGATAGCAGGCTGCTCGGGGCGGTTTGCTGTTGCGCGCCAATTTGAGACGTATCCATGTTCCGAGACAGAGATCTAAGCGGATGGATGAAAACAAAGCGCAAAGAAAGAAAGGTGTTTAAGCCTGACCTCGATCCCGCTCCGCTCTGTAACCTCCCGCCCCTCTCGGCGGAGCTAGATTTCAAAGGTCTCACAGACCGCGCTGGCCAGGCACGCAAGTGTCCGCTTGTAATTGATTTGGGCTGAATAGGTTTTGAACGCCATTGATGCACTCGAAATAAAGGACCAACAAAGAGCAGTTCAGGTGCAACTCACGGGAGCCTCTGCTAGTCAAGCTCACGTAAACTGGAATTGACCTTAACCTCCATCCCCTCGGGAAGGACCGCGTCAGCCCAGTGAAGGCCGTCCGATTCTTGGACGCTGACCTCCACGCACACACCCTCCCATGGAGGACTGGTCACTGCCTCCTGTTTGCCTGTGTCCCCAGCTGGAAACTGGGGAGAGAAACGTTCACTGGGGCCTCCCGGTGGTCGTCGGAGGATTAATGAGCTAATAAGTGCTTTGAAGAGGAAAGTGCCAGCTATTATTATTACTAATAAAGCATTTTTCTCCCGTGTGCTGTTGGACAGCAGCCATTAAAAACCCATTATTGTACTTAGCAATGAAGCCGTCTGGTTCCGCCCAGGATTCAGGCCTCATCCCTTCCATTCCCTGCGCCCCGCAGCCTCAGAGCTGATGGCAGGGACTGCGGGGTGTGTCTTCGTGTCCCAGGCTGGGGTCCTGCGATCGCCTCCAGGGAGGCCCATGGGGCTGCACTTTGGTTCTGTGACCTGGAAGAGGAGGCAGTGCCCAGTCTAGTTTTTTTTTATTTTATTGATATCAGAGAGAAAGGGAGAGGGAGAGAGATAGAAACATCAATGATGAGAGAGGATCATTGATCAGCTGCCTCCTCCACATCCCACAACCCTGGCATGTGCCCTGACCAGGAATAGAACTGTGACCTCCTGGTTCATAGGTTGATGCTCAACCACTAAAGCCATGCTAGCCAGGCCAGATGGGTTTTATTTCACTGGATTTACACCGCATTTCCTGCCCTTGAAGATGCACCTGGGGTCCTTTTGGTTATTTAGTTCCATGAAGGAAGTGAGCTCATTCAGGCGGCTGTGTGTGTGCCCGGGTTTCTCCACTAGTCAGTGGACCTCTTACAGGATGTCTCAGGGCCCTGGGAGCCCAAGCAAGACTGCAGCTCCGAAAGCTGGGGCCGGAGGCGCACTGACTGTGCCCTGTCATCCATTGTCCAGTGGTCAGAGGCCAGCCGGGTGCTGTCATCCAACCCCAACGGTGGGCTCTAGTGGACAAGGGAAGGGGCATCGAGGAAAGACTTGCCAGTGCATGGCGGTATTAAACCCACTGCCATACCACATGCCCCACGTCACTGACCACAACATGGGAACAGAGAGGAGGTGGGCAGGATAGCCGCTGCCCATGGGACACTCCCGTCTCCCCCAAGTGGCAGGGAGTGGACATCAGCGAGCAGGATTCGATTGCGAACAAGGGCATGAACCTGGGTTGCAGGCCCTGGTCAGGGTGCGTGAGGGAGGCAATCAAATGATCTGTCTCTCTCACATTGATGTTTCTCTGTCTCTCCCCCTCCTTCCACTCTCTCTAAAAATCAATGGAACAGTGTCCTCAGGTGAGGATCAACAAAAAGCCAGAAGTGTTTGTGGGTGCAGATGCCCTGAGTCAGCTGTGGCTCCTGCGGAGGATGGGGGCTCATTAGCTCTCAGCACTACTCCTCCTGGTGTTGGCCATGCATTTAGGAGGCGTGCTGCCTCCGTCCTCCCAAGAGCCCATCAGGATGGCTGCTGGAGGTTCAAGGATGGCTGCTGGAGGTTCCTCAGACAACACAGAGGGCCCATGCCTCTGGGCAAGGGCTGCTAACCAGGCCATTCTCACCCAGAACAGGAGCATTCTCCCATTTCCGTTCCCCAGCCTGGCACTTGGTCCCAGATGCCACACCCAGCTTGCTTGCTTTAGCGGCGTTGGTTTACAGAAATACCCTGATAGAGGCACGGAAGCTCACACCAGTTCCGCGGCGCAGAGAAACTGCAAGTCATCATCTTCTTTGTCCGTGTTTCCAGGAGGCCCGGTGAGCTGCTGGCTCGCCTGCAGTTGGCCGGTGCCATCAGCACCTCTGTGCTGCGGCTGCTGTGCCGAGCAGCAGCTGGAAGCCCCCGAGGGAGGGATTTTTAGAAGCTTGACTTTCCCCCTTCAGTCCTGTGTGCATCGGGGAGGCAGCTGCCTTCTGTGCACCTGCTGAGTAATTTGGTTCCACCGGATTCCTGCTGGGGAAGAGCAGTATCAGGAAACAAGACCTTTTGGGGGTCCCTGTGCCCCAGAAACAAGACAGAAGATGAGCCCGTGCCTCCTAGTGAAGTGTGTGCACATGTGTGCATGTGCATGTTTGTGTGTGTGCATGTGCATGTGAGTATGTGCATCTTTGATGCATCTGTGTGTATGTGCATTGCGTGTGCATGTGTGTGCACATGCATGTGTGAACATGACACCTCTGTGCATGCACATGCAGTGTGCATGTATGCGTATGGTGCACCTATGTATTGTGTGTGCATGTGCATTGTGTGTGTGTGTGGCTCGATTCCAAGGAGTCATTCATTCACTCACCCAATATTTATTGAGCTGCTCATAAATCCCAGGGCTGTGCTAAGCTTTAGGGTGGAGACGAGCTCCCCGCCCTCCCCCAGAGCACCCTCACTGAATGCCAGCCAGCAGATAAGCAAATAAACAAGTCATCACGGGAAAGAAACAAAGGTCTGCAGGAGAGGAACCTGAGAGTAGGAAGTGGCTTTCGGAAGGTTCTCGAAGGTGACTCTGAGGGGCTGAGCCCGAAGGGGAAGAAGGCCGGAGGGGTCCGGCCAGAGGAACAGGTCTGGGCAGCGGGGGAAGAGGCTTGGTGTCTCTGGGACCCACGGGAGGCCTGGCCTCCACAGTCCTCATGGGTGAGTCCTACAGGGGATGTTGGGGCAGATTCTGCAGGGCCTCCTGGTGCTGGGTGAGAACACGGATTCCGGTTTATAAAATGCCCCTTTGCCACTGGGAGAGGGCGGATTGTGGTGAGGCAGGCGCAGGCTTCCCCGTGGGAGGTGCGAACAGCCTGGGCCTGAACTGAGCTATGAGGGGATTTTGTCAGTGAGGCAGCATATTCTTCCAGTAGGTGATGTGGTGCTTTGGGCTAAGGAGTCACAGGAAAGCTCTGTAAGGAGGGTGTTCCCACAGCAGGGCAGAGGGAATTGGGGACCAGCAGGCCAGAGGGTGGGGGGGACCCCAGGACTGGCCTGCAGAGAGGGCGCAGTGCAGTGGGCTGCCTGGGAGAGCTGCTCGCTGGGCCCCCAGCAGCTCACAGGTGGACGTGCCAGGTGAACAGCAGGCCTATTGTGATGGGCGTGGTGCAGGGTATCAGACTGCCCTTCATTTGACCCTTAGAGTCAAACCAAGTGTAACATCTCTGAAGTCTGAAAAGGAATATGCATTAGAGATCCGCCCAGAAAGGTGCAGCCGGAATTAATTCTTAGCATAACTTTTATTTTCTTTATAAGGACAGGTCATAAAGCAAACGTGGCCTTAGCTGGTTTGGCTCAGTGGATAGAGTGTCGGCCTGTGGACCAAAGGGTCCCACGTTTGATTTCGGTCAAGGGCACGTGCCTTGGTTGCAGGCTCCTCCCCAGCCTGGGCCCTGGTTGGGGTGCATGAGGCAAGCAATCAATGTGTTTCTTTCACATCGATGTTTCTCTCTGTCTTTCCCTCTCCCTTGCACTCTCCCTAAAAAACAATGGAAAAATATTGTTAGGTGAGGATTAAAAATGTAAAACAAACAAACAAATAAAGCAAAGGTGAAAGCTGGTGCAGACACTAACACATTTTCTTATGCCCATGCGCACACACACACACCAGCATTGTGTAGGAGCTAAACGATTGTGCTCCCCTAGGTCACCTGAAATTCAGGGAGGAATAGCTGGAATAGTAATGAGGGGGCGACTCCCCCGTCTGCCTTCTTTAAAAGCGGAGCCATTTCTGTGACTTCTTAGAGAACATCGTTTACCCTGTGGTGCGTGTGTTTTTATCTTCCCCCTCATTTTCCAAATGCTTCCTCCTCGCCCCAGTGCCTCGGAGACTCTTCAGTCGGGAGAGAGGCTTTCTGAGTCGACGTCACGTGGGGGAGTTTTGCAAACATAACAAGAAGGGCGTGTTAGTCCCTGTCAAAATATTTTCCTGTTTAAACCGGGCAATTTGGGGCAAAAGCTGAGATGCACGTCAGGTTAATTCATGCTTATTATTTCAGGCGAATAATTTCACCAGGAGCCCGCGTCGGTACATTCATGTTTGCGTCGTGCACGGAAGGAGCAGGAGGAGAAGAGGCCAGGGGTGCAAAGGGGCGTGAATGCCCCTCATCGGCTCCCAGGTGCACCCGCTCACCTAATAACACCCCCAGGTGCGCCTCTCTCACTGCTAAGTGGGCAGTCGTCCTGGAAACCAGTTTTCATATTTTTCTGCTTAACGGCTTTCATAGAAAAGCTATCTGAGCCTGGCCGGTGTGGCTCAGTGGTTGAGCATCGACCTATGAACCAGGAGGTCATGGTTGATTCCCAATCAGGGCACAGGCCCGGGTTGCCGGCTCCAACCCCAGTAGGGGGCGTGCAGGAGGCAGCCGATCCATGATTCTCATCATTGACGTTTATCTCTCTCTCTCCCTCTCCCTTCCTCTCTGAAATCAGTAAAAATATATTTTTTTAAAAAGCGATCTGAGAAGAAGCAGGGGGATAGGCAGGCTGTGTTACCCGGAAGGTAGATAGATGGGAGGCGGGTTGAGAACAGCACCTGTGTGGGCAGCGTTTAGACACACTCCAGGGATGTCTGCTGGGTCCTGGGGCTGATTGGGGGTGTGTGTTTCTGAGCAAAAGGGGAGCAAACACAAAGGAAACCCTGTCCTTTCTCTGCCTCTCTCAATCGCTGTTACGTGAAAATAAGGATGAAAGGGTGGGCACACAGCACTTTGGAAGACAGTGGGTGATGTGTGCGGAGCCGGGACAGGAGAGGCA